ATAAATACCTTTTAGTCTCTTTTTTTTTTAATCTCTTTTACCAAGGAGAAACTAGATCCTTCTAAAGCCATTTCTCCCTAATAATCTATGAAAGGACAAAACAGTGAAAGGAAATTCTAAATGAGGAATCAGCAGGCTTGCAAAGCTCCAACACAGACCAGAATTTTAGAAATCCACATACCAAAATACTCCAGCTGCTTAGCAGCCTCACTGTCAGCTCAAAGGTAACATGCCAAGCACACTCCAACTGCCAGGTAAAACTCTCTCCTCAAAATGAAAAAAAAAAAAAAAAAGGCACCATCCTGACTTCTTTTTTCCAGGAGACACCTGGACTTAGATTCTCTTGACCCATCCTAGGTAATTTTCTCAGCCTCCTAATTTGTCCCCCTCACAGCTAGGTGAATTTATTACCATTTGAATCCAAATAGCAGCAGACTGCCAGTCAACTTAAATACCACTTTTCTCACATCACAAATCTGTTCAAGAGTTTTGTTTTGTTTTGTTTTTTGAGTTGGGTGGGTGATGGCGGCTCACACCTGTAATCCTAGCTACTCAAAAAAGCTGCAAAGTGGAGCTGTGGCTCAAGTGGTAGAGCACCAGCCTTCAGCAAAAAAGCTAAAGGACAATATCTAGGCTCTGAGTTCAAGCCCTAGGATACACACACACACACACACACACACACACACACACACACACACACACACACACACACACACACACACACACACACACACACACACACACACACAGAGAAAATCCTGGCTCTGAGTTCAAGCCCTAGGATACACACACACACACACACACACACAGAGAGAAAATCCTGGCTCTGAGTTCAAGCCCTAGGATACACACACACACACACACACACACACACACACACACACACACACACACACACACACAGAGAGAAAATCCTGGATTGTATTTTATACTAAGAGCAGTGGAATACAAATTCTTTGTAATGTAATTCAAAGCCTTTCCCCTCCCAATCTTGCCTTCTGCTTCTTTTCGATGTGAACTCTGCCATGAGTGGATGTAACAACAGTGCTATTATGATCTTGCTGAAGCTATCCTCCTAGTATTCCTCAAGGTGTGCACAAACCATCCTCCCAGCAAGTTCAACTAAAGCCCTAAGAGGATTTTAGTAACCAGTATGTCACAAATCAAGTTTTTCTTTAGGATTTCAGCAACACTCACTCATTGATTAGGCAGGAAGTCATACACTCTCCCCCTACCAAGCAATTATACATCTATGATCTAATTTCTGTAAGTATGGGCCACTCCCCCTGTGAACCCTTCTATCTGCTGTGGGTCTCATAGCTCCTGAAAGACAGCTAGAAAGCAGGAAATGCTTAATAAACTTGCAGTCAACAATCACCTGCATGTTTAGTTTCTGCATAAAGCCAAATAGATGTGTGTGGGACATTCTGTATATCTTTAAGATTATTCTCTAACAAAATGAATATTATTTTGTGTTTATGCCTAAGGATCTCCAAGACTATTCTATTCCTTAGGAGACCTAAGATCTCTGCATATGATTGCAGCATGGCAAAGCTATACTACAGTGAAAGGATACAAAGAAGAATTTATACATTACTTCATTCTCTAGCATCAAATTGTGACTTGTGCTGTCTATCCGAGAAACTCATTAGAGACTCAGGGCCCAAGGTTTTTTGGGGTCAGGACTTAGTCACTCCTGCTTAGCACAAAGATTACAGACTCCCAGAAGATGTTCACCATAAACGTCACCGTAAGTCACTGTCATTATATCACGTATAGATGTATTTAGACCACGTATACAACTATTTACCATTCAGGGTTCCAGATGTAAGCCAAAGGCTGCCTATGAGGCAGACCTTTTGGGCTATGGACATGGCTCAAGTGGTAGCATGCCTGCCTAGCAAAGTGAGACCCAGAATTTAACCCCTAGTACAATATGAATTATTAGTTAAGTCTTTCTAAGTACAGCAGTCTTAGGTCAATTCTTTCACTTAAAATTACCTTCATGTTTTTTATGGTTTTGACTTACAAGGGATCTGATTTTTCGTTTTTTTCTTTCTTTTTTTTTTTTTGTACCATTCCTGGGGCTTGAACTCAGGGCCTAGGCACTGTCCCTGAGCTTATTTTGCTCAAGGTTAGCACTCTACTACTCTACCACAGCACCACTTCCAGCCTTTTCTGTTTATGTGGTACTAAGGAATCATGCATGTTAGTCAAGCGCTCTACCCATCCCCAAGGGATCTGATTTTTAAACATTGAAATCTAGTATTTATAATTAGATGCAGGGCCTAGACCCACACTCACTAGTTAAAAGTTAAGGGATTTTGAGATGATTCACTTCATTTTGGATCTTTTTTTTCTGATAAAATGAAGTATTTTTCTTAAATCAACATTTTATGGTTTTCATTTTATGGTAAAGGAATTAAGCAGAACATCTAAAGCAAACAGACCTTCTTTTGAGTGGGTTCCTGGTCTTCTCCTCTTTAAATGTAAACAGTTGCCAAAGCTGTTTTAGATATATCATTCTACTAAATCCTCCAAACAGTCCTTACTATTTAAGAGTTGGGCTTCGAAAGCCTAAGCAATTCCATCCAGGTGCACCATGGTGGACCGAGGATTTAGGCTTAGACTCATTTCATTCTAAATCCTTGTTCTTAGCTGTTTACCAGTTCTCTCTACCCATCCTTTTTTACTATCACTTAACAACCACACAGATATTTTGCTTGTTTGGCTCTACAGAGCACAATTATTAACCTTATTTCCCATGATCAAAGCCAGAATTTTGTTGGGAGAGAAAGGAGTAAATTAAACACAGGATACTCAAGTTTTTCATTCTCAAGTCTTGCAGAGCACAAATCAAATTATACATACTGTATTTTAAATATAGTAGGAAGCTGCCTATTCAGATACTCTGCAACACAGAACATATTTTTCCCCTTCTATCTGACATCACCCTCTTTGAAATTACACCTGTGTCAGAGCCTTGTCATTATAAATATCAGGGAGGGGGTTAAAAATTCCATTTATTTCTCCACAAAAGGAGACTCCCTGCTGCATAGATTTGCTATGAGAACTACATGAGATAGTATACTTAAAAGGTCCAGTGAGCACATTTGGTGAATGATAAATGACCCACTGATAATTGACGTTGGGGGGAGGTCCTAGACCAGTATCCTGACCACCAGGTGTCAGCACTGTGCCAAAAACCCACCAGTAACTGCTCCAGGTGGGGTTAGGACCCACAGTAGCAGCACAAAGTGTAGGCCTCAGGGTAAGGCTGTTAACCTACAGAAGGGCAGGCTTGCCTGGCACCCTGAGATCCATCTCCAGTATCACCAAAACAACAAACAAACAAACAAACCACTTCACTTACATGATATTCAGGATTGGCTTAGGTCTTTCAAAATTCAAGGGCTGATATAATGTTTTCCGATATCTTTTAGTGTTCTGTTACAAATGTGTTTAAAATGATGGTAGTATAATTAATTAGTTAAGTATCTATAGATATGTCATTAATTTAATTGTGAAAGTTATTCTCAATGGGCTTTTTTTTTATATATTTAGAATCAATAGTGCTTCATATTTCCTTTGGTTTAGCCAAATAGACATTTTCTTGTGCCTATAAGTTTCATTATTGCTACAGTCAACAATTTTTCTAAATTCCACAATCCACTGACATTACTTCTTGCATATTATTAATGGGATGATATATTAAAAAGTTTACAATAAAACTAAAATCTATGACCAGTACACTCAGCAAAATAAACAACTCTTAACCCTTCTTGACTTTAGGAAATTAAACATTCAAGTACGGCACAGGGGGCTCACACCTGTAATCTTACCTAACCAGGAAGCTGAGCTCTGAGGGTAATGAAGGTTCGAAGCCAGTCCTAGCAGACAAATCTGAGAGAGCCTTATTAACCATTAGCCAGCAAAATGCCAGAAATGGCATCAAGTGGAAGAGCAATAGTCTTGAAAACTAAAAAGAGCGCCAAGCCTTTAGTTGAAGGCCCCCCCCCCCCCACAATTCTTCAAGTTTTCTGTTTCATTAAAAACAAAAACACAGTCAACGTCAATCAGTGAATAGCGCTGAAATTAGCCCAGGAGCCGGGCCACACCTGGTATTCCTGTAACCTGTTCAGCACTCTCGCAGAGTGCCTCTGAAAACCAGGGCAGTGCCTAGGTTCTCAGTCCTCCTCAAGGCGCCCCAAGAGTGACCCCCTTGGAGACTTGGGTGATTTAATGAGCATCATAACTGGAGCCACAGCTCTGTGATGAGACATGGGCTGCGGTCCGTCTTGCCAGGAACACTTGATTCATTTCAAGCCCGGCCCGGCCTCCCCCAAGCCCCATCCAGGGGCGCCCCAGTCCGCGGCGGGGTGCGGGGGGGGGGAAGGAGCGCGCCAGGGGCACTGAAGTCAGATCAACCACAGGCCGGTGCCGAGTGGGCGCTCCTGGAACTGGAGTAGTTTGGATCGTTATGGTTTCCTCCTCCCTCACCCCCGCCCCAATAGTCCAAGTTCCATTTTGCATGTTTACAAATACGGACCCGTCTTAGGAGAACCCACAAGCATCCTCTCCTTCTGGCCATCACAGCCATTCCTAGAGAAGGGGGGGGGGGAGGTAGGGCATGAACCATCTGGAGGAGGCAGGCATCAAAGCCGGCCCAGCCGAGCCCATCTGGAAGCACTCTGTGACCCCACTGATGCTCTTCCTTGATTTCGGTCTCACCCCTGCCCAGGCGGGGCCCAGGAGGGGGCGCTGTCCACCCGACCAGCCCGGTGTGTGTGTGTGGTGGGGGGCACCGAGAGGGGAGAGCTATCCATGCAACCACACCCCGCTGGGGGGGACCAAGGAGGAGGAGGCGCGGTCCACCCGGCCAGCCCCGCTGGGGGACCGAGGCGAGGGCGCGGCCCTCCCGGCCGGCCCCGCGCCGGGGATCGAGGCGGGCGGGTTGGCGGGGGGGACCGAGGAAGGGGGCGCGCGGATGGGCGCCTCACCTGGAGGACTCGGCGGAGAAGCTGCCGCCGTCCAGCAGCCGCATCTTGCAGAAGAGCACGCCGTTGACGAAGGGCACGGAGGAGAGCTCGTCCAGCTCGAAGTCCACCTTGAACTTGAACTTCTTCTTCTTCATCATCGTGAAAGCCGGGCGCCGGCGGGCGGCCGCCGCGGGCGGGCGGGCGCCGCCGCCTCAGCTCGCCGCAGCCCCGGATCCGCCCGGCCCCATCGCCGCCGCCGCCCGGGCCCGCGAGGTGTTGGCGGGGGCGCGGCCGGAGCCGCTGTCGCCACCGCCGCCTCTCGCGGCGGTCCGGGCTGGAGCGCGGCGGCGGTTGCGGCGCGCGAAGAAGCCCGGGGGCCCGCGGGGAGCGGGCGCGCTGCAGCTTGCTCCGGGGAGCGGAGCAGCCGCCGCCGCTGCTGCCGCCGCCGCCCGTCTGCAAGCAGCCAGGGGCGAACTCCGAGAACCGCCGCCGCCGCCGCCGAGGGGCTTGGGGCGCCCCTAGTGGTCGCTGCCGGCAGCGCACCGCGGGGCGGAAGCAGGGGGCCAGGGGAGAGGGGAGAGGGCGGGGGAAATTCGGGGCGGGCGGGCGCCTAGCCAGGGAAGCTAACCAGCTAAAAGCATTTAGCGTGTCACGCGTGGGGAGGGGGAGGGGGTTGAAAAAACAAAAGAAAAGAAAACAGCCCCAAAGCTTCCTTCTGAAGCTTCCCCTGTGCCTTTTCTTTCTTTTCCTTCCTTTTATTCTTTTTGCATAGCCTCTTCTCCCTCCCTTCCCCCCCCCCCCCAAGTGTTTTCTGGCCCTTGAGTTTGAGAGTTATGGGTACATGGGCCAAACAGAATCAAAGACATTGTTTTTGGCCAAACTGGAATGTAAAAACTCAGACTTCCTTTAGATACGCTAAATCCATGAGCTTTCACATGTAAGCTGAATGTGAGGTAGGGAGGAAGGCAAAGGATTAAAATGTGTTGCTGGGCTATCAAGTGCCCAGGCACCGTGCTGCTGCCGCCCCCATTTCTTCCTGTTGAAGCCCTAGTATCCGTGTCACCCTGGGTGAAGGAGTTCAGATCATACCTTAACTTGAATGAATGAATGGCCATTGCTGGCCTTCTGTAAGCATAGAAAGTATGTTAAAAGATGTGGGTGACATAAAACTACTACAGGAAGGAGTAGGAGACACTTCAGGACTTCTCTGCGCAGGCAGAAGAAACTTCCTGAGTAAAGTTCCAAGGGCTCATCAAATCAAAGAAAAAATTGACAAAGAGGATTTCATCAACCAAGAGCTTCCTGCATGGCCAAGGACACAGTTAACACGTTAAAAAGCCAACAGAATTGGAGGAGATCTTTGCCAGCTATACATCAGACAATGGCCTAATATTCAGAATATACAGAGCTCAAGAAACTAAACCCTCAAAGAATCAACAATCCAATTAATAGATGGGCCAACAAGCTAAATAGAGACTTTCAGAAGAAGTAAAAATGGTCAATAGACACATGAAGAAATGCCCAATATTTCTGGACACAAAGGAAATACAGATCAAAACAATGAAATGCCACCTCACCCCAGTTAGAATGGCTATCATCAAGAAATAGCAGCCAGTGCTGGTGGCTCAAACCTGTAATCCTGGGGTGGGAAGGTGGCTCAGTGGTAGTACGCTTGCCTTGCATGCCTGAGGCCCTGAGTTCGATTCCTCAGCACCATATAAGTAAAAAGAAAAAAGCCGGAAGTGGCACTGTGGCTCAAGTGGTAGAGCGCTAGCCTTGAGCTGCAGAGCTGAGGGACAGCGCCCAGGCCCAGAGTTCAGGCCCCACGACCGGACCCCCCACCCCAAAAAAAAAACAACCTGTAATCCTAGTTACTCAGGGGACTGAGATCTGAGGATCACAGTTCAAAGCCAGCCAGGGCAAGAAAGTCCATGAGACTCTTATCTCCAATTAACCACCAGAAAAACTGGAAGTTGTGCTGTGGCTCAAGTGGTAAAGTGCTCACCTTGAGCTGAAGAGCTGAGGGACAACGCCCAGGCCCCACGACCGAAAAAAAATATATATATATATACATACATATATATATATAATCTATATAACAAAGGGTGGTTGAATACACTAATGTATCAATAACCTGGGGGTCTGGTTATCCCAAAAGATACCAATATGTACAGATGCCAAAGTCCCTTAAATAAAATGAAGTATTGTTTGCATTAAAAAAAAGTAGTCATCAAGCTAGGTGCTGGTGGCTCATGCCTGTAATCATAGCTACTCAGGAGGCTAGATCTGAGGATTACAGTTCAAAGCCAGCCTGGAAGGAAAATCCATGAGACTTTTCTCCAATTAACTACTAAAAAACAGGAAGTGGAGCTGTGGCTCAAAGTGGTAGAGCACTAGCCTTAAGCAAAAAAGCTCAGTGACAGCACCCAGGACCACAGTTCAAGCCTCAGGACTGACCAAAAAAAAGATGTTACAGTTGAAGAGTGTGGCTCAGGTGGTAGAGCACCAGCCAATGAGTGAAAATGTCAGATACTGAGTTCAAATCTTGGTCTTGGGCAAAAACAAACAGATGTGGTTGACTTGGTTACATGTTTGTGTTTTTAAACTGAGATCTGGTCCTTTTAACTTCAAGATGCTCTTGTAATAATTTCTGAAAATTGACGTAATCTCTTTACTCATTCATTCATTCAAATAAAAGTATTTTTAGTTGCTGAGTGCCAGTGGCTCACACCTGTAATCCTGGCTACTCAGGAGGCTGAGAACTGAGGATCCTGGTTCAAAGCTAGCCTGCGCAAGAAAGTCCATGAGACTTTCAACTCCAATTAATGATCAGAAAGCTGGAAGTGGAGATGTGGTTCAAGTGATAGAGTGCTAGCCTTGAGCAAACAAAAGCTCAGGGACATCTCTCAAGTTCTATGTTCAAGCCCCAGGACAGCCACAAAAAAACACGTTTTTTTAGTTAATGCAAATATTAGTCATTGGCTAGAAATAACTAACGAAATAAAGAGTAAATAAATTGAAAAAAATTTACAGTCTAGTAAGGGAAGCACCTTTAGACTTTATATTAAAAAAAAAAAAAAAACCCAACCCTCGGCTAGGTGCTAGTGGCTCACATCTTTAATTCCAGCTACTGCAGAGGCTGAGATCTGAGAATCGAAGTTCAAAGCCAGCCCTGGCTGGAAAGTCCCTAAGGTTCTTATCTCCAGTTAACTACCAAGAAGCCAGAAGTGGAACTGTGGCAGTAGAGTGTTAGCCTTGAGTAAAAAAGCTAAAGGATAGCACCTAGGCTCTGAGTTCAAACCCCAATACTGGCACATGCGCGCGCACACGCGCACACACACACACACACAAAACAGCCTAATAGTAAGCTAGATAGAATTCAGAGGAGGAAACAATAAAAATGAATCAGCTTTCTTAACTTCAAAGAATAGATTTTGAAGAAAGTAGGGAATGTGCCCCAGATGAAAGAAATAAGAGAGATAAAGACCGAGAGGCAGAGTTTGAACCTTTGTGGGTGGGATTTGGTGGTAGGATGAAGCCTGTTGCCCTCCAGCACCAAGGGAAAGACAGTGGGAAGACAGAGAGGGCCGAGAGACAGCTGACTTGGAGCACTGGAAGGACTGAGTACTGGTAGCAACACAGTAGTGAGTTGGGAATGGAGGAGATGATGAATATTTATCTGAACTGCTTACTGCGCTAGAAGGACAACCTTACTTCTTGTGAAAGGTTAAGACTGAAAACAGGCATTTGGGAATTAGGGTATTTGCTGATGGCTGAAGCCCAAAAGCTGGATAAGAATATTTAATAGGTAGTTGGAGGAGGTGATTGGGAAGACTCCAAAGAACAATCAGAGAAAGAGATCAAGAGAGATAGCCTGGAAGTCAAGAGTGTGCTTCAAGTATCTAAGAGGTACTAAGGCACCCTGCTGGGGTGTCAGGAGAAGGGTAACAGTTAAGTAAGTGTGGAGGGGCATGAAGAATGGAGGAATTTCAGGAAAGTGCTTCAAAGCAATCCAGGAGGATCTGAACCAGAAGGAAGCTACAGAATTGAAGATCAAGTAGGTCATTACAAGAATAAAACCCCATAAAATATAAAGGCAAAGGAGATTCAGCTGGTTTAAGACTTGAAAATAGCAATATGGGATAAGGGACAAAGTAGTTTTCTGATTTTTACCAGTGAATAAAAAGTAATGTTAGTAGCTGAAGGAGAGGGCCCAAGCTTTTTCCAATAATATTCAGGAGCTGTCCAGTATTTATTGAGTTCCTATAATGTGCCAAGTACTTCAATAGGTCCTATAGATTGGAGATACAGTCCCTGTCTACTGGAGGACAGAGATAAATAAGCAGGCAGTCCTGCTTGAGTCATTGAATATCATTCATAAATAATGGTGAATCAAGACTGCTGTGGAAAAGTGCATTAGCATCTAATCGGGTTACGTAGGTTTTATGGAAGGTTTAACCAGGTTAAATGAATGATATGTGAGCTGGGGCCTGTAGGATGAGAGAGAGGGTGGGAAGCAGATTTTACCCTACTCTGCAAGTTTTGAGGCTCAGAGGAAGGGGAGCCACATTGCAGAGGGAACTTAATTTAGTTCTGTCTGGCTCATGTTTAAGAGTAGGGTGTGGTGACAGGAGTATAATTGGGAGTCACTGACGTTTCAAAGCAGAGGATAAAATATTCAGATTTGCTCATAATAGTGGGCACCAGCGGTTCATGCCTATAGCCTGAGATCTGAGGTTTACAGAAGTAGCCCAGGCAGGAAAGTCCATGAGATTATTATCTCCAATTAACCACTAAAAAAAAAAAAAAGCTGGAAATAGAACTAGTCTTGGATAACAAAGAAAAGGGATAATGCCCAGACTTTGAGCTCAAGCTTCAGTGGCCAAAATAAAACAAAATAATGCATTTGTAAAGATCTCCAGCTGCAGAAAAACTAGAGGTTGAGGACAATCCGATGTTCTTTTTCAGACTCATGGTTTTATTGTTAAGCACCTGGTATGAGTCAGGGTCAAGGCAGGAAACAGATGTCATACTCCAAATGTTTCAATGAGGAAAGTATAACAAAAGAACTCTGTACAGAGTTGAGTACAGGGTTAGGGACCCACAATCTGGTGGGAAGTTGAAAGGAGGCAGGGATAATATACTGAAAATAGCCTAATCTTGCTCAGCT